TGACGATGGTCGCCACTTGGTTAACCGTCAACCATTAACCTGTGCGGGGCCCCTGATTGTCGCCACAAGCCGGTGAGGCGAGGAAGTATCATGACCCCCGCTTGGCAGACGGGGAGACGGAGGCCCGGGAGGCGTGAGGGCAGGTCTGCCCAGCCTCGTGCTGCGGTTCCCGCCACTGCCCTTGTCCCGGGATCATCGTGGCCCCCGTCCTGAGCCTCGCCGCCTGGAGACGACGCTTCCCTCGGAGGGGCGGGGGAGGGGACCGCCAACGAGGGTCCCGGGCTCGGTGCCGCCAGGAAAGGCCCTGCCAGGGGCGGTGAGCGTCTCAGACTCGACTATGGGCCCACAGCTCGGTGCCTCTTCTTTCCGGCCACTCAGTGGCCACCGGTGCCGGCGGTGTGCCCGCCAGTGGTTGGCCCTGGGCCACCGCTGCCCTTGTCCTCTCTCCCGTGTGGCTCCCCCGGAGGGTGAAGTCTCCGCACCCTCTTTCTGGGTCACCTTCCATCTGCGCCTCTGAGCTGTTGTCTCAGTTCTTGGAAAATTTAGAGAAACCTCCCCGGAGTGCTTTAGATGCCAGAAGCCAGTTCCATTGTGTCGTGTGAGTCCAAGTCAATAAAACCACGAAAAGTGTCACTGTCCCTCTTAGCCCAGGGCAAAACGTGGCATCCTGTGATGGAGGCAAAGGCTCTCAGGGCGGTGAGGCCAGTGAGGCCAGTGAGGCCAGGCAGGAGCAGGGGGTCACCCGGACCAGCCGTGGACCCTCAGCCTCTCGGAGCCTCAGTTTCTACGTCTCTGAATGGGGAGGGACAGTAATATTCTTAGGGTGACTATGAGGGTGAAGTGAGATCATGTTCACAGAAGCTTCCAGAAGCTTCCAGCTCCCATCTGCGTGTGTTGAGGTGGAGCACCGGCCACGGGGCAAAGCGTTGGGCCAGGCTCCAGCACTTTATTAATGGTCTGGAAAGACAGTCCCTGACTCACAGGACTTCTGGTTTAATGGGGAGGACAGACATTAAGCAAATAGACTCCTGAATATATCGGCTGCCTGAGCAAAGGCCGGGCCACCGTGAAATAGTGAGCAGGGGCGCCAGCGGCTCGCTCAGGTGTCCCCATCCACCGCTGACAGGTCACCGAGGGGAGGGGCGCCGGGCAGGAGCACCAGAGCCTCAGTCAACAGCAGCTGACCTGCAAATGGACTAAGAAGGGAACCTCCGGAATGAAATTAGTGACTTTTGACTCTGCAGCTTTGGTGAATAAACCTTGCGGAGAAGGTGCAGCTCTCATTCCTAAACGGCTCCTTGTTTCTCCGGTTGATGCCATCTGATGTAAAGCTCCAGGCCTGCTAACTGGGGTGAGCTCCCCTGAGGGAGCTGAGACCCCTTCCCCACACACAGGGAGCTGGAGCCTGAGACGCCTGCCCTCCCCCTCCCCCGCCCACACGGTGTCCCACAGCGGGCCTGGGCCTCTTATGTCGGGAACAGCTGTGCCCAGGGCAAGAGAGGACGTGACAATAGGCAGAGCCCAGGCCCCACTGTTGATCCCAGGGCACGGGCACCCAGGGGCCGACCTTACTGCACAAACATGCTTGCGGGGGGCGGAGGGGGGAGGGGATGAGACAAAATGGGTTGGTTGTTGTGATGGTGGATTTTAGCATCAACCTGACTCGGCCATGGGGGCACCCAGATGTCTGGGTGTCTGTGAGGGCACTTCCACATGAGGTTACATTAGACGGGAGGGGCTGGAGACAGCAGGCAGGTACCATCCGATCCCCTGAGGAACCGTGTAGAAGGAGGTAGAGAAAGGAAAAATGTACTCTCCGCCCGACTGTCGAGCCGGGACGTTGATCTTCTGAACTGGGAGAGCCCGTCAGCTCTCAGCTGCTGGTCCATCATCAGCTCCCCCCACCGGGTCTTGGGTCTTCAGCCTTGGACTGGAGCCGCACCCCCAGCTTTCCGGAGTCTGCAGCTGACGGACGGCAGATCGCAGGACTTCTCAGCCTCCTTCATCACGTGAGCCTGATCCTCATGACGTACAGATAATATGGATCGTGCGTATGTAAATGTGTCCACACACACACACACACACACACACACACACACACACACACACACACACATAGATATGTTTCTATATCCTATTGGTTGCTTCTCCAGAGAAACAACCTGGTTGCAGCTAGAGGCATCACTGGGAGAAGACCAAGGATTTGATGGGAGGCTGGTGGGAAAGTCCAGAAGCCACAACCAGCCTTTTTGCTTGGGAAAATGCACCAGGGCCTGGGAGAACGGGGGATGAGTACCGTCCAAGGCAGCGAGCACGCTGGCACTGTAGGTGAACCACAGGAGAGTTCTCTGCTACAGAAGTCTACTCGTTGTACACGCTTCAGGTACGGCTTGATCCAGGGGCTCGATGCCTGAGTCACCGAATCTTTCTCTCCTCTTTGCCTTCCATAGTGTCAACTCCCTCCAAAGGCTGACCCCTCCAGTGCTTAGCAGATTGATACTGGCAGCTGGGAGCGTTGTCATCGATGAACCTCAAACCACATGGCAGGGAAGTGGGGGAGCAGAGAGCGAACTGAAAATTGCGGCGCTGCCACCAACAGCATGGAGACAAGGGAGCCAAGTGGCCGAGCAGCAGAGGTCACCTGTGAGGATCATCCACGAGGGAGGACCTCCTGTCCTGACCCAGCGTTGCTGGGTGACTTCTCTGGTCCCTTCTAACCTAGGGGCCCAGTGACTGTAAGCAGACCATCAAGCGCCCGGTGGTTCAGGGGGGCAAGTGAGGCACATCTGGCTTTGGCCCCGTGCCAAATGCTAGGTGCCTCCTCAGACCAAGGCTTGCTTCCAGCGGCCCCTTCAAGGTGACCTGACTGGGAGACGGCGTTACTGGCTGCTGGGCACGGGGCTGGGTTCCCATCCTTCCCGTGTGCCCCAGACCACACTCGTCTTCACTGGGGAGCTGAACGAGGTCACCGCCAAGGCCCTGCAGTACTTGGATTGCTCTCAGTTTCCTTCTGCTCCATGGGGCTCCTTCATGGGAGCTGGGAGAACTGGGGCTTTCCTGGCATCAGGGGTAATATAACCGCGAGCTTTCAGATACGTGGGCAGTTCCGGGGCCACAGACAGCAAGCACTTCGTTCACCGGAGCTTAACTCCCCATGGGTGACAACCACGAGTCTGAATAATTTCCACAGAAGTCAGAGTGGGGTGAGGCCAAAGATGGGCCTCTGGGCAGACCTCCTCTCTTCCCCACACTGCGGGCTCCTGGCCTCTCTCCCCACAGTGCGACTTGAACACACTGCCGCGGGCCACAACCCAGGCCCCAGGGAGCGGGGGCCCCGCCATGGGTCCTGGCACCTCCCCGTAGCAGGGGCTCTGCTGGCCAGCCTCAGACCAGGCCACATCTTCTAGAACAGCAGGGGAGAAGTTAGTCAGTCCCTCTGCGTGAGCAGGATCCCAGGGCAGGAGCAGCTGCGATACTACATCGTCTCCGTGTTTCTTATAAGCTGCAGAGGGAGGCCGTGCACACGTAGATAGAACTAGAAACAAACTGAAAGGCCACTATTTTGCTGAACTGGTTTTATTTCAATTTTACAGAAACCTGATTGAAGTATGTAATTGTAAGTCCAGTAACAAGTCTACAAAAATGCACGTACGATGCCAGAATTCCTTAAAAGCAACTAAGATCATATTCTCGTTCGGCATAAAACATGCATCCGTATCAACTGCCGCGTGTTGGCCAAAATCAGTCTCTACGTGAGAAGAGACGGTCCGTTACGGTCAATAAGAAAACTGGTTGTGAACACAGATTAAAAAACAAAAAAGAGGTTTTCTGGTTAATGTAAAAGGAGGAGCAGTACCTTTCTCCACGAGCCCTTCAGCCCTGGGTGACGCGTGTCACCGTGCCTTGCAGTCAGGCGTCGCCTCCGAGACCTGATCCTGACCTGTCAGCGGAGCGAGGAACTTCCTGGCCGTTCAAGCAAACGTCTGAGGAGATAGAAGCTTTCGGGTCACGACGGGCGGGCTGGTGCCAGCTCGCAGAGGGTGCCTGGGGTCCTCAGGCTTGGAAAGGGTGCCCAAGCTGGGGGCTGTGAACGATCTCAAAGGTGCCCCGAGCTTTTCAACCTCACTTTTCTGCAAGGCCAGCTCAGGGCACACGAGCATCTCCTGGGCCGGAAGGGCTTCTAGCTCCACATATCGCTCTTTGTGTGGGTCTGCGATTAGGAGGCTTGATGCGGAAAACCACAGGTTGGACTCTTTGAGGCCCTGACATCCGCAGGCCGGGTTCATCCCTTCCAGGGACTGGTATGTGCAAGTGCTGGACACATAAAGAAAAATCCGTGTACACCCGTGGCCCCAAAGCCTTCAATGCTTAGGGTCACACACCTCAAAGCGTATCGCCTGCTGGCACCGTGTTGCTCCAGAGGGAGAGCAACTGAGGCCTGGATTTAACAAAGTTGTTTTCCACACGGGCTGAGGGCTATGAAGAGACTTCATACCAACTGAAAGGCCTCCCCCTTAAATACAACATTCCACAAGGTTCTTCAAAGCAGGTCTCCTGGTCAGAGAGAACCAGCTGTGGCCGTGAACGTTTATTTACATAGAGCTCCTCGGTCAGGCGGCCGGGGGCCTTGTTCGGAGCCTCTTACACACGGTCTGCTCTTCCACGACAGGGCCCTCCCCGCTCTGCGCTACAGGTAAGCTAAGCCAGTGTTTTTTTTCCTTCAGCACAGATTTAAGGGGGAAAATAATAATTTATTGGGGTTCTAATAACATTTTCATAACAGAACAATATCAAAATAGGTCCGTTTTCAATATATGCTTATGAATATCCCTGATAAGGTAGAGAAATCCAGAGGACTCTGTAAACCACTAAGATTTCACAGGGTAGTACCCGGTCTGTTTTCTAGGCAGCAGAAGAGGGACTAGGATTCTGGCGAAGTTCCTCCGGGAAGCCCTGTGACACTACAGTACTGACCTTCTAATATGCTAGTGCCAGTGGAATTGTGAATGAAGTTTTCACTTTATTAGTAAAAATCGTAACAAAGGTTGGCTTCCTCAGTCCCGCAGTCGGCCAACCTCCCTGCCCATGACAGATGACAGACGTGCAGCCCAGAAAGTCGTCAGCCCTGACTCCAACCTGAGGTGGGGCCCAGGGGAGGCGAGTCCGGAGACGCCCTCTAAGCCTCGACCACACCTGCCAAAGTGCGGATGTGGGAGAAGAGGCGGACCGGGCCGGAGGAAGCTGACCCAAGGCACCACGATGGGGGGTGGGGACCTAGAGGGGCCGTGAGGACAGAAAGGGTGCTCCCGCCAGGGCCTGCCCCTGAAAGGGTCCCGGGAGACATCAGCAGCTCCCGGCAGAGCAGACACGGTCTGGAGTTAAAGAACAAATTGGTAGGAAAAAAAAAACCAAACAAAACCTAGTTTACTGTCTCAAAACCAAACCAAACTTCTGAAAACTTCTAAGCGAATGACTGGGGGTTATCTGGTAGTCGGGCGGCGGCTGGCAGTCTGTGGAATGAGCTGCATTTAGCGGGGTTGAGGGTGCTGGCTGTGAAACGAGCGCGAACATTGTGGCGACCGTGGTTAAGGAGGAAAGGAAGCTCGAGGCCGCGGGGGGGTGGGGGTGGGGGAGGGGAACCTCTCCAAGGGGGGGCCCGAACAGGACCAGATGTGGGACACGCCTCCTTTATTCCTGGCACAGTAAGTGGCCTTGGCATGGGCCTGGATGGGCAGGCGCCATCGCGCACCCTAGCTGCAGTAGTACTGCATCCCGTCCACTCTCCTCCTCTTTTTTGACTGAAATTCTTCAAAGAAATGCTGGATGTCCTCTCTCTTAACAACCTATTGAAGAAAAAGCAAAGATTAGGAAAGGGATATGTGTACAGAGCAGCAGTCACTGGTCATACTAGTCACAAACAAGTTGAACGCTACTGCTGATAAGAATTCTTTTCTGGGCACCTGGGTGGCTCAGCTGGTTGAGGGTCTGACTCCTGATCTCAGCTCGGGCCACGACCTCACCTTTTCATAAGTTCAAGACCCATGTCGGGCTCTGCGCTGACAGCATGGAGCCTGCTTGGGATTCTCTCTTTCTCTTTCCCATCCCTGTCTCTCCCCTGCTTGTGCTTTCTCTCAAAATAAATAAACTTAAAAAACAGAGTGATTTTAATCATACTATCTCCATCCTATAGGGAGCTCATTCATGCAGGTGCACAGCCTGAAGAGTGCGGTAGTGCCGAGCGCAGGGTCCACAACCCACCACGGCTTCCTCGCCTGAAATGAAATAAAAGCAGCACCTATCTGATGGGATGGACGATTAGATCGGATTTAATGCTTATAAAACACTGCCTGGCACATAGTAAGTTCCTGGGTTTTTTTAATTTTTAAAAAAACGTTTATTTTTGGAGGGGGGGGACAACATGAGCAGGGGAGGGCAGAGAGAGAGGGAGACACAGATTCAGAAGCAGACTCCAGGCTCTGAGCTGTCAGCACAGAGCCTAACACGGGGCTTGAATTCATGAGCCATGAGATTGAGCCATGAGATCATGCCCTCAGCTGAAGCTGGAAGTGTAACCGACTGAACCACCCAGGTGCCCCACGTAATAAGTTGTTAACTGAGCGCCTGAAGGTCTCCCGAGCCCACTGCCCTCACCCAGGACCACAGCTGTCTCTTGGGGGACATCCTTCAGCTCCACGTGAGCGCCCACAGGAAAACAAAGTCTGCTTTGCTTTGAGATTCGTGTTTTCTTCTTTAACGGAAAAAAAAAAGAGCCAAAAAAACTTTTCCCTCTTCAGGAGTCCAAAATTAGAGATGTTTGCCACCTAAAAAGAGTAACTGGCATAGAATAAAGCAGCACTACCCTTAGTAAATGGGATATCCACTTTATGCATTGAAAATTTTGTCTTCCATTTCACTGGAAAAAGATTACAGCATCATACAAAGGTGTTCAAGACATTAGCAAAATAGGAGACAAAGGGACAATATGGACCAAAAAGTAAATCGGGAAAACCTGGCAGGAGCACCCCCCCACCCCCCAGGAGGGCCTCCGCCAGCTGCTCCGCCCTAACAGGAGACAGGTTTGCTAATTTACGTTTTAATTACAAAGGTAACACATTCTTATTGTTCTGAAGGGATGAAGATGGGGCAGGGAGAGGGCAGGAAAGAGAAAGAAAAAGCCCAGTGAATGCAGGTGAGCCAGAAAGAGGAAAAAACAAAGCCGATGGATAAATACTTGGATATAAAGTGCACCCCCCGCCCCCCGTCACTCCCCAAGGGCAAGTGCTGCTAACACACACACAGCAATGCCAACTTGAGTCACTTCCTTGGGAGAAGACGCTCATTCATCCTCAAAGTGGAAGCACAGACTAGTAACTGATATACCAATTTCACAAGCACCAAGGCTGAGACAGCTGGTCAACCAGGGAGGACTCAGAACCCCTGACAGATTCAAGATCTAGATACTGAAGACACTTGAAATACTAAAGCTCAAAGCTCTAACGTATTTGCTAAATGGCCTGGAAATTCACACTTATAAAAGTGCTAATATGTAGGACACTTGGAAATCCCAATTGGAAGGACCTGTCCCTACCGTGGACGGACAACACTAAACACTGAAAGGCAAAAAAAGAGAAGAATTCTTCCTGCAAGGATGTTGGGAGAGGGGACCTAAAAGCACATAAATCAGAGTGTTTAATTTTTAGCTTCTAGACCCTCAAACGGTCATGGCCAACATGCACAGTAGAAATGTTAAAGAATAAATACTGGGGTTCAATAATCATTGTATTGGTTTCTTTCACAAGTTCTGTGGTTCCTAAGTGTTTTTTTTAAAATTTTATTTATTTTGAATATTTTTTTGAGAGAGAGCATGAGTAGGGGAGGGGGAGAGAGAAAGGAGACAGAGGATCCAAAGTGGCCTCTAGGCCAACAGTAGTAGCAAGCCCGATATGGGGCTCGAACTCACACACTGTGAAACCGTGACCTAAGATGAAGTGGGACACTCAACTGACTGAGCCACCCGGGGCCCCTAAGTTTTCTTTTTTTAAAGTCAGACACAAATATAAAATAAAAGACAGTCCATCATCTGAGAACATCGAGAATTTATAATCTTACGTGGACAAATACAACCAAAGGAGATTAACATTATTGCAACTTAAAGTTCCTACTTCTTTTTGTCAAGATCTAGTTAGTAATGTTGTGGAACAAACAAATATATTTCTCTGTCTTTTTAACTCATCGTATCAGATAAAAAAATTATCTTAGACTCCTAAAAAGCGGCCCTAGTGATGACAAAGATCCCTATGTTGAAGATCCAGGTGAAGACTGAAGAAAATTGCTGGTTTCAGGGGCGCCCAGTGGGCTCAGTTAAGTGTTCGACTCTTAATTTCAGCTCAGGTCAGGATCTCACAGTTCATGAGATTGAGTCCTGCATCGGGCTCAGCACTGAGAACAGAGCCTGCTTGGGATTCTCTCTCTCCCACTCTCTCTCTGCCTCTTCCCTGCTTGCGCACTCTCTTCCTCGCAAAATAAATGAATAAACTTTTTTCAAAAACTGCTTGTTTCAAATGTGAATGGAAAAAAGACAAATATATCTATTATATGATCTTAGGTGTGTGTGATTAAATCAATAAAGAGCCTTCTGACCACAAACTGCACGAGAGCAGAGGTACAAGAGACAAGAACACACATGCTTTGACACACGTGAAAGACCTGAAATGGCCATTAATAGTGCAGAGGTCAATGTACACCTGACACACTACTGTGTGTCAACTATACTTCAATTAAGAACAAAAGTTTTTTGAGCCTGAGTGGCTCAGTAGGTTAAGCATCCAACTTCAGCTCAGTTCATAATCTCCTGACAGCTCAGAGCCTGGAGCTTGCTTCATATTCTGTGTCTCCCTCTCTCTCTCTCTGCCCCTCCCTCACTCATGCTGGCTCACTCCCTCTTTCTCAAAAATAAATAAATATTAAAAACAAAAACAAAAGTGCCAAGGGGTGCCTGGGTGGCTCAGTCGGTTGGTTACACATTTGACTTCCGCTCAGGTCATGATCTCACAGATCATGGGTTCAAGCCCCACATGAGGCTCTGTGCTGACAGTTCAAAGCCTGGAGCCTGCTTCAGATTCTGTGTCTTCCTCTCTCTCTGCCCCTCCCCAACTCATGCTCACTCACTCTCTCTCTCTCAAAAAAAATAAATAAATAAACATTAAAAACAGAAACAATAGTGCCAAGGGGCTCCTGAGTGGCTCAGTCGTTTGAGGGTCCGACTTCAGCTCAGGTCACAATCTCACGGTCATGAGTTCGAGCCCTGCATCAGGCTCTCTGCTGTCAGCACAGAGCCTGCTTGGGATTCTCTGTGCTCTCTCTCTCTCTCAAAAATGAATAAACAACAACAAAGTGTCAAGGTTAAAAACAGCAACACCTATGAACATTCTTTTAGCAAGAGAAGTGTGAGTCCTCAGTAACCAGAGGGATGTGAATAACTGTAGTTTAAGAACTGCTGAGACGCAGGAGGATGTTCACAGAGACTGTGAAGAACAGTCTCTAAAAAATAAGAAATCTACCAAGGCCAAAACTCTTAACTTCTGACTTTACAACTCATTTTTCAGAAAGGCAGCGCTGTGACCCTGTCCCTACCGGCAGCTCCCAGTCCTTCCCACCTTCACGAGCAAGGAGGAAGCGGCCTCACACACATGGCAGACACCCCTTTCAAGAAAACAGTCCTGGGGCGCCTGGGGGGCTCAGTCGCTTAACTCTTGCTTTTGGCTCAGGTCATGATCTCACCGTTGTGAGATTGCACCCTGCATCAGGCTCTGCATGGACAATGCAGAGTCTGCTGGGGATTCTGTCTCACTCTCTCTCAAAATAAATAAACATTAAAAAAAAAAAAGGAAAAGAAAGCAAGAAAATCTTAGCACACTTCCTCAGCACCTGTCAGGCCCACACCTGACCTGATTTCTGTGTCTGGACATAGCAGAACAAAGCATTGACTGTCCATAAGGCCAGCCTTAGTCCAAGGAAAGGTAAATTTTGTTTTATAACTGCCTTTGGAAGACAGAAAAGTATTTCAGGAAAAAATTCTGCCACAAACGTATGAATAGTGAGCGAGGTAGCATTTATAAATTTATCTGAAAAACTAAACAAAAAAATTTTTTTAATGTTTACTTATGTTTTTGAGAGAGAGACAGTGTAAGCTGGGGAGGGGCAGAGAGTGGAGACAGAATCCAAACCAGGCTCCAGGCTCTGAGCTGTCAGCACAGAGCCCAACACGGGGCTCAAACCCACCAACCGCAAGATCACGACCGAAGCTGAAGTTGAATGTGTAACCTTGACTGAGCCATACAGGTGCCCCATGACTATTTTAAAGATCATATATTTTAGAATCATTATCACCCTTAAAAGTAGATAGACTCTCTTATTAGCCAGAAGAATGTTTTGCCTCAATTCTGAAGTTCTTTTATTCTAAACTGCAAAATCCAAAGTCCAAAATAAGGGGTCTGGAATTAATTTTTCCCTGCCTGGTCATTTTTAATTCTTTTTCCAAGGACCTCTGCCAATATCCCGGACTTCCCCTCAGCCACAAGTGCGCTCTACAGACCCTGTGTGGCTGCCTCCCCCTCCTTCCCCCCAGGGCTGGAAAGGACTCCCAGTGAGGTCAGGCCTTTGATTGACCAACTGCTCCTGATTCCCCTTAGCTCCACCCGCAATCACCTCTTAAGGATCCAGGTTAAGACACACCGTCATTTGTTCATCCAAGAAGATAAACAATTTTTTCAAAATGTACAGACCTATGATTCAAATTCTGTAATGCAACATACATACCGTGCCTTCATCAGCAAATCTCTTGAGATAGTCTTTAAGTTCAGTCTTCAAGTCATTGTATTCTAAATTAAAACAACCAAAAAGGTACTTAGACTTTAGACAAGTCATTTGCTTTTAAAAGAAACAGCTTCTTTCCCACTCACTGATGGTTGAGTAGGTTAATACTTTAAATTTTTCTCTAAATGGAACATGCACGGGAACTTGCTCCCAATTCCTCTCAAGTTCTTTCATTTTGATATTGAGGATCCTACTTCTTAAAACAAATAAACAAAACAAGCAAAAAAGTAAAAAAAAAAAAAAAAAATCCTCATTCCAAAAAGATTAGCTAAGAATTTTTTAAAGGGTTTCCTAGCTCTCTGGAATTCTAGTAGTTGAAATAATCTTGGGCTCCTCAAACTTTAAGTTTCAAACTCATTCACTCACTTAACAGGTCATATTATGTATGAGGCACCCTGAGGGCTACAAAAATCCTTCAAATGCAGCCTCCATCCTCAACTACCTTTTGGTCTAACAGAGGCAAAAGAAATCAATCAGATAGTTAAAAATAAAAGACAGAAATGATCAATGCCACAGAGGTGGCGGCACCTGAGTAGAAACTGACTGGGGTGGAAATTACTAAAATCAGTTGGGCATGCTGGAGGGAAAAGAATGTAAAAGCCTGCAATTACGGGCTCAGGGAGATTTTCCCCTCTGGTGGTTCCCTGTGAACCTCAAAGCAGCTTTGAGGACCTCAAAAAGATGACATGTGTTGCTCAGAAAGAAGATTCCTAATGCTCCATGAAAACTATTTCAATCGATGGACAAAGAAACTGATTTCCCATTATTCCATATTCATACATCTATCCTGAATCAAAACAGCACGTTAAGGTTTCTCAAGCACATAACTACTCTAGCACCTAACTCTGATGCAGTGGTAATAACGGCTAAATACGCAGCAACGCTACAGTTAGGCACGCGTAACTGAGGCCTACTCTATAATTTCAATTTTAAGCTTTTTTTTGTATTAAATTAAAACCCTAGGTATTAGTAATCCTCCTTATACGTATTTCAACAGTGAAAGAAACTTTATGAACTTCATGACTTTTTGTTCAAACAGCATTTACCACAAATAAGTTCCACTTGCTGGACTCTGTCCATGCTGTTAAGGGTGTCCATTAAAGGGTCTCTCCTGTCGGCTTCCTGGTCGACCTTGCCCTTGTTTTCGTAAGCCAGAACTGTGTCATACTCATCCGTCAGGAACAGGACATCTAGCTCGCCATACATTTTCTTCAAAAAATAAAACCAGTTTCCCATTAGAACATATGTATGTCATTCTCAGAAAGTCAACCTCATGAGAATCACTACAAGTTTATTTATTTATTTTTTTAGATTAATTACTCAAAAAGCCCGAGCCTTGTAGTACAGAATTGCCTGAATGATTTATTCTTTTTGCCCAAATCTCTTTTAGGAATCTCCCAACTTCCCAGTAGGTGTTACATGGTCTAAAAGATCTTTATTTAAAAACCATTAAAAAGAATTTTCTTTTAATGTTTTTATTTATTTCTGAGAGAGAGAGAGAGAGAGAGAGAGAGACACAGCATGAGCAGGGGAGGGTCAGAGAGAGAGGGAGACACAGAATCAGAAGCAGGCTCCAGGCTCTGAGCCAGCTGTCAGCACAGAGTCCGACGCAGGACTCAAACCCACGAATTGCGAGATCATGACCTGAGCCGAAGTCGGACGCTTAACTGACTGAGTCACCCAGGTGCCCCTAAAAAAATTTTTTTAATTAAAAATGAAAACCACTAACTTACTGTAGCTTTCAAGACATTTTTATTCCCAAGCAAATTCTATGATATAAAAAAGATAAGAATTCCTATTTTCCACTAAAATGAAGGTTAAAAAAAAGTGAAGTAAATACTGTGTAATTCTTAATTGCTTCCATAAGGATTCAGACTGCAAATAGCATTTCATAAATTTGCTTGCTATGAAATATTTTAGAGTTCTCTATAGTCCTAGCATCAATTTCATACATATATTTTTCAGAAGGTCTTATTCTAGGCATCAGTCGATAAAACACAGTAATGGTACCCTTGATCAGGCACTCACCATACAGTCTTTGCAGGTACATAACTTGCTACGCCAGTTCAGGGGCCAATAGGCAGCTGTGTCTTTCTTTATAAACTGCTTAGCATTAAGCTCCTGAAGTTTGCAGCCAGACTGTGATTCTGTGTTAAGATGTTGATTCTTAAGTCCTGTCTGAAATAAAATTAAGTTTTGAAGTGTGTTTTTCACACTGACAGTTTTCGTAGCTTAGATTGTATAAAGGAATTTCTTTAGGCAAAGGGTACTTTACAATTGAGATCCAAAGCTACAGGGTTTACAGAATTAATTTTGCTTAAGCTTTACTTCTCTGATGGCTTATATTTCATATGTTACCTGGAGACCAGATTCAGAACCAGAGCTGGTACATGGTTCACTAGTCTGCTCTGCTTTAAATTCCTTGACACCATCCTTTCCATGTTCTGGAACATCCTCTTTGAGGGTACTATCTTGATCTCCATTTTCAGGTTTGAGGACTTCCTGATCACCTATTCCATCAACATTCAGCACCAACCCATCATCCTCCGCAGATACTTTGGTTACTGTGGGTTCAATGAAAGGAAACACACATACACATCCACAGTGAAATCACTAAGTCTGATTAAAAAAAGATTTCAGAATCAGGAAAAAGAGAAAGTCAACCTTAATCTCTGGAATAAGGTGAAAGGAACGATCAACTCTTCCTTAGGTTATGCCTGCCTAATCCAGAGTTCAAATAATTGAACAGTTCATTTAAAAATGTCAATCATGGGGCACCTGACTGGCTTAGTTGGAGGAGCATGTGACTCTTGATCTCAGAGTCCTGAGTTCAAGCCCCACATTCAGTGTAGAGATTACTTAGATAAATAAATCTTTAAAAATAAATAAATAGGGGCGCCTGGGTGGCTCAGTCGGTTGAGTGTCCGACTTCAGCTCAGGTCATGATCCATGGTTAATAGGTTCAAGCCCTGCACTGGGCTCTGTGTTGACAGCTTGGAGCTGGAGCCTGCTTTCGGTTCTGTGTCTCCCCTTCTCTGCCCCTCCCCTGCTTGCATGCTGTCTCTCTCTCTCTCAAAAAATAAATAAACATTAAATATAAATAAATAAATAAAAATTGAAAATTTAAAAAAAAATAGGGGCACCTAGTGGCTCAGTCAGTTATGCGTCTGACCTCGGCTCAGGTCATGATTCATGATTCAAGCCCCGCAGTGGGCCCTGTGGTGACGGCTTAGAGCCTGGAGCCTGCTTTGGATTCTGTTTCTCCTCCTCTCTCTGCCCCTCTCTCACTTGCATTCGGTCTCTCTTAAAAATAAACATTAAAAAAATAAAACCAATCACTACCTTAAGCATTTTCTATGTAAAGGAAAAAGAAAAATATTGCAAGTGGTAAAAAGAGGTAGGATACCTCAAAAAGCAAGAAGCAGGAAAAGGTTTAACTACAAACACAGGTAGAAGGGTAGTTTTGAAAAAAAAAACCAGCGTCTCTCAATGAGAGGAAGGAATAAAAAAAGGATGGATATGGACCCAGAAATACTGTCAAAAAAAGAAGAGAAATGATAAGGAAGCTCATGTTGAATGATGGCATTTCGATTTAATGGGAAATGAGGCCATCTGTTGACAGGGGAGGAAATGAAGGGAGAGGGGGAGGAATGATTAAGAAGACCAATGAATACAGGTCCAGTGGAAAAGTGAGAAATGTAACTGGAAAGGTATGAATACAAGGAGGGCGCATCAGGTTTAAGAACTTTCAGACAGGGGCATTGAGTGGTCCAGTTGATTAAGCATCTGACTCTTAATTTTGGCTCAAGTCACAGTTTCATGGTTTGTGAGATGGAGCCCTGAGTCGGGCTCTGCGCTGACAGCACGGAGCCTCCTGCTTGGGATTCTTTCTCCCCTCTCTCCCTTACCCAGCTTGTGCGCTCTCTTGAAAAACAAACAAAAAACCCCAAAACTTAAATACTTTAAAAAAAAAAAAAAAAAGAACTTTGAGACAAATCAAAAGTATAGGGTGAGATTTTAGGTATGTGGCTATGCTGTCTGTGGTTTGTATGGTGAAATGTCCCCTGAAGGTGAGAAGGGCAAGAAATTATGAGGTCAGAACAGTAGATACTAGGAGTAAAGGCCACTAAAAATAAATTAAGGAACACATTTGCATTACCAGTAAAATTAAGTAATGCCTTGAGACCATTCGTTGCTGATTAGTTGTTTTGAGCCAATTTCTTCTTGCACAATAAAAGCACCAGGTAAAAACTATACCCCACCCCTCCCGACCAAAAGCCTATCTTATATTTAAGAACAATTTATTCCAGGGGCGCCTGGGTGGCTCTGGGGGAGCCAGTCGGTTAAGCGTCCAACCTCGGTTCAGGTCATGATCTCACCATTCCTGAGTGTGAGCCCCGTGTCAGGCTCTGGGCTGACAGCTCAGAGCCTGGACCCTGTTTCAAATTCTGTGTCTCCCTCTCTCTTTCTGCCCCTCTCCTGCTTGTGCTCTATCTCTCTCTCTCAAAAATAAATAAACATTAAAAAAGAAAAATTAAAAACCAAAATAAAAACATTAAACAAACGAACAAACGAAAGAACAACTTATTCTGGTTCTGTTTATCTTTCAAGTCCCATTCAAAAACTGCCTCCTCCATCTTCCCTAGTTCTGGTCTCTCTTTTTTTTTTTTAATGTTTTTTATTTATTTCTAGGAGAGAGAGAGAGAGAGAGAGACAGCGTGAGCAGGGGAGGGTCAGAGAGAGAGGGAGTCACAGACTGAAACAGGCTCCAGGCTTTGAGCTGGCAGTCAGCAGAGCCCGATGCGGGGCCCGAACCCACGAACTGCGAGATCATGACCTAAGCAAAGTCGGACGCTTAACCGACTAAGCCACCCAGGCGCCCCACCCTAGTTCTGGTCTCATCCAGCCTCTGCATCGTGTTATCTACACATAGATTTGTTCTCGGTAGTCTCCCAACCGAGCACCTTGTGGAAAGGGAACGTCCCTTACACTTTTTCTACACTTCAGAGTCTGGTCAAAAACAGCTGCTAAAAATTCTGGCCTGAACAGAGACATGTCACAAGTACAGGTCTGCGGCACACCAGCTCCACAAGACACCCACCTGCCAATTGTGCAGCGTAAGCCCACAAAAAGGAGCAGCGCTTCATACACGCCGGGCACACCATCTCCTGGAAATCCCCACTCTCCGGGGGAGTGGCACCAAGATGCTGTGAATACAGAAAACTCATTATTTTTCTTATAGTCTCCAAGGTGTCCGAAATGTTCACTATTCAATAAATATTGCAACAGAACACTGATCATATCTTTACAGTTTCTTTCGGTCGTGAGATCAAACCCTAGGTCAGACTCTATGCTGAGCCTGGAGCCTGCTTGGGATTCTCTCTCTCCCTCTGTCTCTGCTCCCCCCCCCACCCCGCCCCATGTATGCGCATGTGCGTGCATGCTCTCTCTAAAAAATTAACATTAAAAAAAAATAAAACAACAACAACAACGTAAAAAGCTTTCCTTACCCTTCCATGGAACCAGTCTTCACAGACTACACACTGGATCATCTCATCTGGAATCTAACACGGAAAAGCAGTTTGTATGTTAAGATTACAACGAGTTATGGGACACAGAAGTAAATCTGGCAAACAGCAGAACTAGATATGAAGTAATTCTCTGTACCGATTCTGTGAGTCTGCTATCCACATGCCCATAGTCAAGAGGCCAGGGAGAAACAGCGGGTCACAGGGCCAAAGAAGTTCACTCTACATGAACTCGTGTTGCAGAAAGGTTACACTGAGATGAGCCCTTTGGAAATGACCGTCAAAGCTGGTTCACTTTGGTTACTCTGCATCTGACTCTTGCAAGACTTTATAAGGAACATCTCATTTACATGGAAATCAAGATCCAGGAAAGTGAGATGAATTGACTGATGTAGAATGTGACAAACCCACATTCTTCAAGCCCTTCATTTTACTTAAATTGAAAAGCAAATATTACAAACAATCTCTTGCTAATATGGACAGCAACAACTTCCCTAATTTGAATCAGTTAAGAAATTAAATTCTGGCCCAGAAAAATGATATACCAAAGGGCACAGACTGTTTTTAGAATGATTTTCCTTTCATTCCCAGACTTTCGTATCTACTGATTAATACCCAGTGTTGTTCTGTCCTTTCCCTATTGCAACTTCTTAAACGGGGAAAAAAAGCATATATGCCTATATACATACGTCCACATATATACACACACACGTATATAAAACATACACATAAATAAAGCAGTTTTATTCTTTCTTCTACCTTGATCAATTTATTCAGCATCTTATTTTTTGTTTTTTGATTTAACACTGTTATAACACTTTACCCAATACCTTAAAATATCCAGTTTTAAGGTTTTATTTTTGTTAACTCAAAGATATCTTCAATTTGTTCCTCTATATAATTTGGTTCAATAATTACAGTTCCAAGACAACTAGAAAGCAAGGAAGAAGGCAGAAGGCTCATTTCTGTAAACATAAAGCACTCCCTCAAATCAGTAAATACACAAACAAAATCCAACCCAGTCAAAATATGGGCCAAGAGGGGCACCTGAGCGTCTGACTTCGGCTCAGGTCATGATCTCACGGTTCGTGGGTTCGATCCCCGCATCGGGCTCTGTGCTGACAGCTAGGTCAGAGCCTGGAGCCTGCTTCAGATTCTGTGTCTCCTCCTCTCCCTGCCCCTCCCGTGTTCATGCTCTGTCTCATTCTGTCTTTCAATAATAAATAAATGTAAAAATATATATATACTTTTTAACTCAAAAATATATATATGGGCCAAGAATATAAAAGGGCAATTTAGAGAAGTTATTACAAATGTCCAATAACTCATGAAAGATGCAGAATCTCACTCAGGGAAAAGAAAAAAGATATACCTCTTCATCTATTAAGATAGCAAAATTTAAAAAGACTGGTAATATGTAGAGCTGACAGAGTATTGGAAACAAAACACTATCACCTAATGTTGGTGACTGAACTCTTTTGACAGAGGTGATCACAATTTTATTTTTTGAAGCAGTCTTTTTATTAAAAAAAAATTTTTTTTTTATGTTCATTTATTTTTGAGAGAGAGAGACAGAGTGTGAGTGGAGGAGGGGCAGGGAGGGAGAGAGGGAGAGAGACAGAGAGAGAGAGAGACAGACAGACAGACACATAGAATCTGAAGTAGGCTCTAGGCTCTGAGCTGTCAGCTCTGAGCCCCTGATGTGGGGCTTGAACTCACGAATGGTGATCACAATCTAAGCCAAAGTCATACGTTCAAGCAACGGAACCACCCAGGCGCCCCAACACAATTCTAAATATAAATATCATACGTCTCATCAGTTCTACCTCTATGTATCCATAAATACTTGCAGGAATATTACTGAATCATATTACTGTATAAGGATGTTCATTGCAGCTTTCTTTAGAATGTTGAAAGATGAGACCCCACCAGTTTGCTACAGCACATTTAGGTAACGAACTTACAGCATGTCACATTATGAGTACTTGGCTGTGATCAGAACAAGGTGGATTTGTGTTATTTAGAATGGAAAGAAGTCTATGATATACTGAGAAGCGAGAAAAGCAAGTTGCAAAAGTGAACATATCGAATTTTCACTTTTGTTAAAAGGGGACTACAAATTCAAACACACATGACTTACGTGGGGACAGAAAGAGGTCTAAAAACAGATACGCCAAAAAGTATTAGCAGTGGTTATATCTGGGAAGTAAGATGGAGGGAGGAAGAAAAATTCTATTTATTTATAATTTTTTAAATTTTTATTTTTTAATTTATTTCTGAGAGAGAGAGAGAGAGACAGAGACAGTGTGAGCAGGGGACGGTCAGAAAGACAGGGACATTCAGAATCTGAAGCAGGGCTTGAGGATTTGAGCTAGCTGTCAGCACAGAGCCCGATGTGGGGCTCAAACCCATGAACCGGGAGATCATGACCTGAGCTGAAGCCAGACGCTCAACCGACTGAGCCACCAAGGCACCCCAAAATATTCCTTTTAAATTCTGTGTGTACTTTTTTTCCTTCTAATTTTGTGCAAACTTCTAATTGAGGATCCAGTCTGCACATTTCTTTTCTTCCATGGAGGCAAGAAGTTGAAAATAATTGTTTGGAGGGTGCTTGGGGGTGGGTGGGGCAGTGGAGCAGGCAGGCAATGAGAGAGAGGAAGGAAGAAAGCACTGGCCTTGAGAATGTCTTTTCCAATATTTCATTCTTATAACGTACAGCGAGCAGAAAAGCCACAATCTGTACCAGTTATAGCTCCAGCCCAGACTCCTAAGAAAGGATAAACCTAGAAGCCTCTCACGATCCCCAAATCCCTTCTGAACAGCTATAGAGGCCCAGACTGGACAACAGGCTAAGGAGTGAAGGCTAGAGATATTAATCTCCAATTAACCTCCAATTCTCTTACCTCATCTTCAGGATCAGGATAAGGTCTCTTGCAAATGCAGTACAATCCAAAAAAGTTGTCATTGTACTTATTGCCAGAATTTATCTTTGCTTTGTCCTGAAAGACATTAATTTCAACATGTAATATGGTCTAATTTTAACTATAATTTCAGGCATCATGAAAATATAGATTATTAATAGCATATAAATATAATATATATGCTATATATATTATATTTATAATATAGCATCAATGTTTTATAGTGAGATATAATAAATACCATGACAACAATAATCATCTCATAAATTTCATGTTGCATGAAGTTAACGCATTCCTTAATTTCTGCATTAAATACCTTCCTCCCCAGAAGCTGGTTTTTAACTATCAAACCACAAAGAAAAAGAATTCACGCCTATTTAAAGGATATTTTTTCCAGGATACAGAGAATAAATTGGATTTTTTGTACCTTCTTGGTAGTAAATGGGGAAACCAAATACATCCATTAACAAAATGCTGATAAAATTATAAATATCATCAAGCTCTATAAATGAACATTGGCCTAGATTTTCAAAGGACTTTTTTTTTTTTTTTTTTTTTTAAAGAGAGAATGCACAAGAGAGGCAAAGGGGTAGAGGGAGAGAAAGAGAGAATCTTAAGCACGGCTCTACGTTCAGTGCAGAGCCCAATCCAGAGCTCAATCCCACATCCCTGGGATCACGACCTGAGCTAAAATCAAAAGTCAGACACAACCAACTGAGCCACCCAGGAACCCCAAAGCACTTCTTAATGCCCAGCTGGGATAGCCAAAGCTCCCAGGTTACTACAAGGTAAAAAGCAAGTAAGAAAATGGTCTAAAAGTAACCTTCAAAGGAGGGAAAAAGCATGATAGTTTTAGTAATTATGACTGAACAGTGTAAAATCCCTGACATTCTAGTTTCTGTTACTTCAGTAAATGTTATTGTGGAAGTATAGTTTTTATTAGCCAAAAAGCAGTGAAAAATCCCTGCATGCACCTAGCTCACGTTCACTATTACCAAGTTTTATTCATTCAGTTTTTAAAGTTACACACTTTGTTGGGGTGCCTGGATGGCTCAGTCTGTTAAGCGTCTGACTTAGGCTCAGGTCATGCTCTCACAGCTCGTGAGTTCAAACTGTGCATTGGGCTCTGTGCTGACAGGTCAGAGCCTAGAACCTGCTTCCGATTCTGTCTCCTTCTCTGCAAACCACCCACTCACACTCGCACTCTCTCTCAAAAATAAAAGTTAAAAAAATTAAAAAAAAAAAAGTTATACCCTTTGCTAAAAGCCTTAAAGGATGAACACAACCAACATAATTAAGCCTTAGCTACTTTAAAGAACATTCCCCACATATTACAATCTATAATGTGGGCTCTTAACAGGTCAGTTTTCCAATAAAATAAAAAACTGAATATAGTCTAATACCAATTTGCCTACTTGGAAGAATAAGCATAAGAATTTCCTTTTTGGAAAATGTATGGTTTTCATCCACTCTGGCAAATATCCATCTCAGCTACTTTCAGTGCATTTTTACACTGCTTACTTACAGGAAATAATTTGCATTCCAAATTTTTAAACTTGCTGTTTCCACAATCACAACGAAAGTTTCTGAAAAAAATGAGGGAGGGCCGATTTTAGTTTTGTTTTTTTTAAATCTAATGAGTTACCCTTTAAATTTATTTCACAGCCCCTTGCCTTTCAACTCGTTTCTAGGATCTAAAAAGTGACCTTGGTTGTTGTTCATATGTCCCATCTGAAATTTCTCCAAGCACAGAATAAAAGATTTAATAGTTTGGGAAATTAACATGCATAGAAATATTTATATCACACATACATATACACACACATGTAAAATAATGACAAAGGATGACTAGTTTGAGTTTGTACAATAATGTATTTTTTAAGTTTTTATTTAAATTCTAGTGACTACATATGGTAAAAGTAGTTGCAGGTGTAATATTTTAAAAGGCCCTCTAGAAAAACTATTCTAATTATATCATATAAAACAATTACATTAAATCTTACCAGGGCACAGGTCCTTTAAGTGGAAAAACAAGAAAAAAGTGCAGGTGGAAAAGAATGTAAACATTTAAAAGGCCTCCTGCACAAATCTCGGTTTTTACCTTTTTGTGTAGAGCTCAAATAGCTTATGACTTCCATGGCATTCGTAGCTGCAAGCAAGGCAAATTCCTGCTGGTTCTTTTCCCTCTGGGGTGCAGGTACTACAAGCATAGAGTGCTTGTCTCTTTACTGAGCCCTAAAAGCCACAAAATGGAAGGAGAATATTACATCTGGGAGGCCCAAAACACTGTTGTTTTTTCGTGGCATTATATTTGCACTATGTAGTGCTTCATTTTTATACAATTTTCTTCTTAGAATGATAGTTGAAAATTCTCAGGAAGCTGAAAATAAGAATCAGCTGGCCTGCACCAACATTTTAACACATGAAAATGTAGGCGAGTGTGTACAGGCTTATGTTAGCAATATCACACTTATAATTTTGGAAAAACACTTGTGAATCCACCAAAAAGAATCCTTTTGATTTCAGGAGATGCATGCTGAAATATTTAGAGTGTCATGATGTCTGGAACTTCTTTTCAAGTGGTTCTGGGCAGGGGGCAGGGAGGGGGTGTATTATACAGAGGAGAGACATAAAAACAAATGTGGCAAAAGTGAGTATGTGAAAGAGGTACACAGGTATTCATAACAGTATTCTTTCAACTTATCTGTAGATTAAAATGTTTTCACAATTAAAATTTGAAGGAAGAAAACAGGCAAAGCCTTTAGAAATCTTGACGATGGTTACCCTCCTCCAGGAAGGAGGGAAGCAGAGAAGCTTCTGGGATGCCAGTAATGTTCTATTTCTTGATCTGGGGGACTCCACACATGCATATGTTCACTTTTTTCCCCAAACCACACACATGATGTGTGCGTTTTCCACATTATTTTACTACAGTAAAAAGAAAAAAATTAGGAAGTCCATTTATAAAGCTAACTGCGTTTCAAAAATAGCTTACACTCGTGTTTTTTTAAGGAAAGCAGAAAAAAGTTGTTTTAGTGGTGACCAAAGGTTTTAAATTTTAAAATGCCAGCCAACATCTGAGACTGTCCGTGGATACCGGGTTTTTTCAACAATCTAACCCCCGTGCAGGGTTAAACTCAACTGGTCACTGATGACAACTGGTATTATGAGCTCAGTCCACACCACATAATGACCCCAAGTCTCTCACCTCATCCCCCAATGTTGCCACCCCACCGGCCTAGGCAACCTTCTTCCTACCAATTCTCATTCCGTGTAAAGTTTTCTTCTACCCACCTTTCTCCATTTTTGTGCCTAGAAATAAAGGATGAGTCACCAAACACTACAACACACCCCCTCAAATCCTGATTCACAACGTCTTCCAAACGCCAAATTTACCCTCCGAGCAAATCCTTTCCCCTCCTCCCTCCTTTGCCAGTGCCACCTGCTGTCGTGGTTCCGGTCTATTTCCAGGGGGGGCGGACTGCGGACAGACACCATACTTGCGTCGCCTCGCCAAAAACAAAACGAAACAAAACAAAAAAACCTACCAGCTAGTACTTGTCAAACTAAATTGCAGAGGATTCGCTGTCAAGGAGCCCAGCTCCGGGAGATTTTCAAATCCAGAGCTCTCTCCATGAACTCTGCTTCGACACTCCCATTCGGTTCCAAATAAACACTCTTAGGATGGGAAAAGTTAAGGACAAAGATGTCGGAATTCGAGAGGTCACGGGGATAGTTTCTGAAAAGCAGCCGAGGCACGGAGAAGAGAAGGGAGAGGAAGGAAAGAGCAGGGGCCAAAGCCCAGAGAATCCTGAGGGACCAGACGGATGAAGACCGCGGGGGGCGGGGGGGGGGGCCCTGCTGGAAACAAGCTGAGAAGGGGAACCCGGGAGACTGAGGTTTAGGGGCAGCTGGGCCTGGGACGGGGAAGCCTACGACGAGCGGCGGCCTGGGACCACCACGGGGGAGCCGGGCCGCGACAGGCGGGAAGAGGGCAAGTCTGGTCGGGAACAGGAGGTTCAGCGGGAGCCCGGCGAAGGCGCGGCCAGGGCCGCGCGCCCACCTGCGAGTAGGAGCACTTCTCGGAGTCGCTGCCGCCCAGCACGGCGCACGCTTCATTCTCCAGCTCCTCGTCCTCCTCTAGTACGTCGACCAACGATACCACCGGCTCCAGCTCCGACTGCCGCCCGGCGGACCCCTCCGCCCCAGCCATCCTCAACTGTCAGCGGGACCGCCGCTCGGCCCGGGCGGAGGCGGGAAAAGCGGCCGCGAGAGGCGTGGCCGGAGGAGGCGGGGCCCAGTGCGAAGAACCAATCTCAAGGAAGGGAAGCGAAGGAAGGGGGAGGAGCAACTTCCGACAAACGGAAGTCCCTCCTCTCCCTTCTCCCGCCTGCTCCGGGCTGCGCCCACCGCGATTGACTTCCGCTTCCGGGTGGCGCTAGCAGTCGCTCGCCAGCGAAGCTCTGCCGTCGCCATGGAGTTGTTGGGCGAGTATGTCGGGCTGGATGGGCAGCGGCAGCAGCTGCGGGTGCCCTGTGAAGTGCCGGCCGACGCCGATCCTTATGAGGCCCTGTTGTCTGGCGTGGCCCAGATGAGAGAGCTGGTGGCAGAGCTCTTCGGCCCCCTGGTAGAGCAGGAAGCGCAAGACCGGGTGGCGGCGGCTCCAGAAGAGGCCTTGGACGGTGAGCCCTGAGAAGGTGCTGGAGCGACGTGAGGGCGGGGCAGGGGAGCCGGGGTAGAGTGGCCGACTTGAAGCTAGTGAGCCTCGGGGGAAGAAGAATCCAACTAAAAATTGTTAGCACTTACCGTCATATTATCCAGGCTGCTTCTGTTTAAGCGTTTTCACGACTCTCTTTTCATGTGTATCACAAAACGCGTGCTGAATGCCGACTACTTGTGCCAGGCTCTGAGCTGTGCTCTTGAGAAAGAATGAGGAGGTGAATGCCACTCAGTTCCTGGCTTTGCGAAACTCTCAAGCTGGTGGGGGTTAGACAACACTTATTAACAGATTGGAAGTAAGACCCTACAGCTCTCAGTTAACTATTGCAAACTGAGAGGACCCACGAAGGCTTGGGGTGGGGGTGGGGCAGGGGAAGGGTTTGAGCTGCATGTTGAAGGATGAAAGGAGCATTACTTTTTTAACATGTTTGTAATTGAACGAAATTACACGAATTTACAAAATTTCACGAAGTCACGAACGTTAAGAAGACTGTTCTGCCATCAAAAAGAATGAAATCTTGCCATTTGTAACAACTTGGATAGAGCTAGAGTGCATTAGGTTAAGCAAAATAAGTCCGAGAAAGACAAATACCGGATTTCACTCATGTGGAATTTAAGATCAAAACATGAGCATAAGGGAAGCAAAAATAATATAAAAACAGAGAGGAAGATACCATAAGAGACTCTTAAGTACAGAGAACAAAAAGGGTTGCTGGGAGGGTGTTGGGTGGGGGGATGGGTTAAATGGGCAAGAGGGAATTGTTGGGATGAGAGCTGAGTGTTATATGTAGTGATGAATCACTACATTCTATTCATTATTACACTGTGTGTTAACTAACTTGGATGTAAATTTTTTAAAAAATAAGTAATTAACTTTAGAATTGATTTCAAAATAAGTTCTGAAGATTTCAGTTTAAGGAGTGTTTTAACTCCCAGGGACTCCTTTCCATATCCCAACTTAGAAGGTGCAATTTGAAAGGAGAAATGTGAAATTTAAGTCTTGTCTGGAATACAGAAAGAGGTAGGTACCTTTTCTGTCCAGAGCTGAAGGATCTAAGAACTAAATATTGGAGTCAGGACTCTTAAGGGGCTTACACTGTACTATGCTTTCCCTATTTTTTTGCATCTTGTTTATATCATGGTAATTGCGATTTTGTGAAGGAGCCAGTTGAGAACGTTACACTGAGTTCAGACAATAGATCGGTTCCATGGATATATATACACTGGGGGCAGCAATGTATTGAGAATGAAGTCCTGTCTCTGGGCTCCAGAAGTACTTCTGTAATCTCTTGAAAATGTTATCATTGGCGTAAGGATGAGTATAGCTAGAGCCATTTCTTAAAATATCATTACTTGTTGAAAAACTAACTGCCACTTATTAATGGTAGGTCAGTAATATATTTGTATCAGAGGACATGTTTTTGTTTACTTAATGAAGATCCCCTAAAGCTTAGGTCTGAATTTCCTTTGTTAAAAGTAATCGAGATTGACATGGTGCATTTTGTGTTCTATGAATTCTTTCTCAACAAATATACAAAACTTAAAATTGTACCAATTACTAAAGAAAAGTGATAGAACTCAGTATTAAAAAGTACTCAGGACTAAAATCGGCTTACAAACAATCCAGTTGCCAAATATGAAAGGATTTGAATAGACGGTTCTCTAAATAAGATGTACAAATGGCCAATAAGCTCATGAAAAACTGTTTAGCATCACTGGCCACTGGGGAACTCCTGTTGAACCATAAGGAAATACCACTTTATGCTCACTAGGATGACTGTAATCAAAAACAATAACAAGTGTTGGCTAGAATGTGAAGAAATTGGAGTCCTTAGATATTGCAGGTGGAAATATGAAATGATATGCCTTCTTTGGAAAATGGTTTGGCAGTTTCTCAAAAAGTTAAAATAAAGTTGCCTTATGACCCAGTAATTCCACTCCTAGGAACTCCTAGTTCCACTCCTAGGTCTCCAAAGAGAACTGGAAACCTACGTTCACATACAGACTTATGCATGAATATTCATAGCAGCATTATTATAATAGCTAGAAAGTGGAAAACAGCACAGGGCCCATCAGCTGATGCCTGGATAAACAATGTGGTGTATCCATCAATGAAGTATTATTCAACAATAAAAAGGAATGAAGCACCAATAAATGCTATAGCGTGAATGAACGCTCGAAAATATGTGAAGTGAGAGCAGACACAAAAGATCGCATATTTTAGGATTCCATTTATATGAAATGTCTGGAGCAGACAAATCTATGGAGATAGAAAGTAGATTAAAGGTTGCCAAGGACTAAGGGGAATTAGGTGTGTGATTTCTCGGATGATGAATATGTTCTAGAATTAGATAGCTGTGACGGTAGCTCAACTACAAATCAATAAATTGTACACTTTAAAAGTGAATATTATGGTGTGTGGATTATATCTCCAGAAAAGTGATAGATAAGAAAAATTTTAAACACCAAAATTACTTAAATCTTTTTAGCCATACATACTTTGAATCCGATGTATGCATGACTATTAATCCTTAAAGTGAAAATGGTCTCATTATCAACCGTTTTAGTAATATATTTCTTTGAACCACTGATCATATTGTCATACAACAAATATTTATTTTAAAAGGTGATGATGAAGATGATGCAGAAGAAGAAAATAACATTGATAACAGAACTAACTTAGATGGACCATCTGCGAAACGGCCCAAACCACCAACTTAGATGGACCATCTGCGAAACGGCCCAAACCACCATCTTAACAATAGCTTTTATGAAATTTAAAAGACTGCTACTGTATCCGAATTATCACCCGCTGACATTTAGGAAAAGACTGGTGCTCTAATTTGGAAAAGCATTTGTTTTATTCCCCTAGGACAGTTTTGTCAAAAAAATGCATCTTGTGTTTATACCAAAGAAAGATAAAATAAATGTTTAGAAATGAATCTGTTTTCTTGAGTGAGAAATAAATGTCATACTATGGAAATAACTAGAACACTAACTGATACATAAAATCCTCTAAGTTGGCAACTGAATTTTTATTGTTATCTACTTATTTAATAACCATTGAATTAAACTGTGTGATGTCTACATCTTATGGCTTCTGCTTGTTATAAAAACTACATCATAGTCTTGTACAATAACATTTCAAAGAAGATGTAAGTAGAGAAATCGGATATTAAATTTGAGAATGGCAGTTCTGTATAAGAAGAAGGAAGATGGGAATAGAGAGAAATACTGAAGAGGGAGATGAGCCCTTGAGAGCGACCCAAGGATACGTGGAGCCCATGCTCATACCCAGTATACAGACATCCAGAGATGATACTATTCAATGAATATATATATTTAACTTGTAACTTAAGAGAACGAAGTTGGGTGTGCTTTTATGCTGTAACATGTTCTGTATATAAACACAAATGGAAGTCTTAAACAATCTATGTTGACTTTAACTTGAGGTATTTCTCATCCTGTATCTACACTTTGATTAGACTGTTGAATCCTTTAATATACATATATATTGGGGCGCCTGGGTGGCTCAGTTGGTTAAGCCTCCCACCTCACTCAGGTCATGATCTGGCGGCTCATGGGTTCAAGCCCCACGTCGGGCTCTGTGCTGACAGCCAGCTCAGAGCCTGGAGCCTGCTTCCGATTCTGTGTCTCCCTCTCTCTCTCTGACCCTCCCTCGCTCATGCTCGCTCTCTTTCTGTCTCAAAAATAAACAAACATTAAAAAAATTAAAAAATAAAGTACATATATATTCCTAAAATATGTGTGTGTATTCCTTTTCTGCTTGTTGATGGGACCAAGGCATTTTTTTTATTTGTGCATGTTTCCTGGTTCATTTAGATAGCTAAAGTGCAAAGAAATCAAGTAACGTGTATCTCAGGAAATACAAATAATTATAGAATTTTAGAATTGGAAGTAATCTTACAGATTACATAGGACTTATTTCCAAGATGAATCGAACATTAGAAGAGGTGTTTGTCCTGAATTTGAGCTAAACATTGGCAGAGACAGGTTGCACACATAGTCTTTAATAGATTACCAAAATACCCAAAGAGCAGATTATCATGGTACTTTCCCAGTTACATATTGTGAAATCTATAGTTTACAAAGTACATACAATTAAGGAAACTGAATTTAGATACCTTTTCATATATATATTTTTTTAACATTTATTTATTTTGAGAGAGAGACAGCACACGCAAGTCGGGGAGGGCTAGAGGGAGAGGGAGAGAGAGAATCCTAAGCAGGCTCCATACTGTCATCACGAGCCCACCATGGGGCTCGATCTCACAACCATGAGATCATGACCTGAGCTGAAATCAGGAATCAGATGCATAACCAACTGAGCCACAAGTTGCCCCAATACCTTTTCATATCTTTAAAGTATTGTTTTACTTGGAACATCAGCCTTCCATTAAGTCTCCTATATAATCAAAACAATACCAAAAAGTAAAAAAGAATACTAGGAAAAGTACTATAAATGGTCACAAATTTCCTTGTTTAGTTTGTGATAATGTCTCTAGTATTAGCACTTTGACTCAGTTACTGACTTATGTTCATCTTTTTCTTCATACAATCCTTAAAAAAACTTTTCAGCACAGTTAAAATAGTTCGTTTTAAGTTTTTTTTTTTAAAGGTTATTATAATGTTTTTTAGTAATCTCTACAGCAACATGGTGCTCAAACTCATGACCCCAAGGTCAAGAATCACATGATGTCCCTACCAAGCCAGCCAGGTGCCCCCAAAATAGTTTATATTTTTGAAGTAATAGCTGGATTTTCCTCCTGAATATTCTTTTTTATTTTTTTCCTTTGTTTAGTAAATATAAGGAAAAAATTTCAAGATATTTGTGCTTGTGGTCCAGTGTTTTGAGATCTGGGTTATAGGTCTGATCAGTCTTTTCCTTAATTTTAAGGCTGATTCTAGGGTCGCCTGGGTGACTCGGTTAAGTGTCTGACTTCAGCTCAGGTCATGGTCTCACAGCTTGTGAGTTTGAGCCCCACGTCGGGCTCTGTGCTGACAGCTCAGAGCCTGGAGCCTGCTTTGGATTCTATGTCTCCCTCTTTCTCTGCCCTTCTCATACTCCTGCTCTGACTCTCACAAATAAATAAACATTAAAAAAAATTTTTTTAAATTTTAATACTGATTCTAACCCTAATACTGTTTGCTTCATAAGTGAGCTACATGTGTGACAAAAAAGGTCAGTGTGAAGGCCCAGTATACAAGTGCTTTGCCTGGCTTTCTAATCTGATTTGTAAGAGTACAAATATAGCCACAGGCAAGCAGGACACGGTTAATCTCTGAACTTCTTTTGAGTTTACTTTCATACAGGAAAGTCATCCTCCCAATCCTAGCTAAAAATAAGCTTAACGCCAGATTTAGATAAGTAATCTTTTAAAAGGTGAGACGTGAAGTTTAAAATATGAACTATATGGACATTTGCAACATACTGGCTTTTCTAAAAGTGCTTTTGTATCCCAAGAAATATTTGTTTTAATAGCATTCTGTGGAACCTGTTACAATAGGTTGGTGTTTGTAAGTTAGAAAGTTTGAAGATTTTTAAAAAATAACTTGGGAAGAGGGATGCTTGGCTGGCTCAGTTGGTAGAGCATGTGACTTTTTTTTTTTTTTAATGTTTATTTTTGAGAGAGAGAGAGAGTACAAGTGAAGGAGGGGCAGAGAGAGAGGGAGACACAGAATCGGAAGCAGGCTTCAGGCTCTGAGCTGTCCGAACGGAGCCTGTGCAGGGCTTGAACCCACAAACCACAAGATCACCACCTGAGCTGAAGTCTGATGCTTCACTGAGCAACTCAGGCGCCCCTAGAGCATGTGACTCTTGTTCTCAGAGTCAGGAGTTCAAGGCCCATGTTGGGTGCAGAGCTTACTTTCTAAAAAATTAATTTGGGGCACCTAGGTGGCTCAGTTGGTTAAGTGTCCAACTCAGTTTTGGCTCAGGTCATGATCTCATGGTTTCATGGTTTCCAGCCCCACCTTGGGCTCTGTGCTGACAGTGCAGAGCTTGCTTGGGATTCTGTCTCTCTTCCTCTTGCTCTGCCCCTCTCCCACTCACGCTCTCTCTCAAAATAGATAAACTTATAAAAAATTAATTTGGGGCAAAGAAAAATTTACTTTGAAAACAATATGGGAAGTTTTGTCCCCCCCATTTAGAGATAATGTTCATTCATACCCAGAGGACTTCTGCTTCTCCAACTGGTCACCTTTCAAGCCCTCAACCAAGTGACCTCCTTTACCTGTCTAGTTCTTCCCCGTCCTTCAGATTTCAACTTAAACACTTCCTCCAGGAGACTTTCCTGGCTTCCTGGGTGATGTTAGGTCCTCACGCTGTGTGTTTCCTGGTAGCTAGCCCCTGGCACTTCCTCCCACCTTGTATTATGAAATGCACTTTAGGGGCGCCTGGGTGGCTCAGTCAGTTAAGCATCCGACTTTGGCTCAGGTCATGATCTCAGGGTTCTGTGAGTTCGAGCCCCACATCAGGCTCTTTGCTGCCACTTTGGAGCCCGCTTTGGATCCTCTGTCTCCCTCTCACTGCCCTTCCCCTGCTCATGGGTGCACATATGCGTGCTCTCTGAAAAACATTAACAAAATTTTTTAATAAAAAAGTGAAATATACTTTATTAGAATTATTCCTTCAGGGGAAAGGGAAAAAATTATCCTTTGGCTACTTAGAATTTTTTTAATTTTTAGTAAAAAAATTTTTGTTATTCCGAAAGCTTGTACTTTAAAAGGAAATAAGTTTAGGTTTTCTTCCAAATGATAAAATCATTTGGAGACACTATGGCCCTCAGTTTATTGTATAGTACTTTTTTTTCATAGTTCCTCTTTTAAAAAAATGTTTTATTTATTTCTGAGAAAGAGAAAGAGAGGACGTGAGCAGGGGAGAGTCAGAGAGAGAGGGAGATACAGAATCTGAAACAGGCTCCAGGCTCTGAGCTAGCTGTCAGCACAGAGCCTGACACGGGACTCAAACCCACAAACCTTGAGATCATGACCTGAGCTGAAGCCAGATGCTTAACCGACTGAGCCACCCAGGTGCCCCTCTTAGTTCCTCTTTACCCTATTAAAGATATTTCTATTTCTCAATGGGATTGTTCAATCTGAACAAACATAGAATATCGTCTATATTCCTAGTTCTCATCCATAAGATATCCTGAAAACTTAGGCTTTTTAACTCAATTGTCAATCACTGTGTCGTGATAAAATCTTTACAACAAATTACTGTTTGAACTTATTGTGAGGTAGCAGAGCACTGCAAAATTCAAAACTGCATTGCCATAAAATGTAGCAGGTGAGGGCTACAAATAAAATTTACATGTTTGAGGAAATTGATTACAATCATTTGGTGATAACTGCTTCCTGGGTATTTAATGTAAAATCCTCATCTAATAGGGAATATTTATAAAATGACATTTTCAGTCTTAACAAATGAGAAACAAACCTACTAGTTTTTGTGAGAGTTTAAATCTCTCACTACTTAGAACGTAATAAATTTCAGGGAGAATCAAGATTTTTAATATAAAACAAAACCACAGAAATACTAAAAAAAAAAAATAAAAAATGGAGTAGGGGGCACCTGGGTGGCTCACATGGTTCAGCACCCAGCTCTTGGTTTCTGCTCAGGTCATGATCATGCGGTCATGAACACATGGTCGTGGAATCAAGCCCTGCTTCGGCTCTGAGTTCAAAGCAAGGAGCCTACAAGGGATTCTCTCTCTGCCCTTCCCATACACACGTGTTCTCTGGGTGTGTGTGTCTCTCTCTCAAAAAATTAAATAATAAACTTTTTTAAAAAAAGAAAATGGAGTAATAGTTTTTATAGTCTCAGAGTAAGGAAAATGTCTTTCCTAAGCAAGATTTTTTAAATCCAGAAACTATAATAGAAAAGATTAGTACATGTGATTATGTAATAATGAAAAATTTGAAAAATTCTATAAGGTTAAAAGACAAGGAGGGAAAAAGTATTTGGTATTTTCAGAACATAATGACTAAGAACTATTTCCTTTTATAGATCTCATGTGTACCAGTCAAACCATAGAAGTGGGCAAAGGAAAAATAACAAGATCACA